TCTCTAAAGATCAATAATAATGATAAGATTTAAAAATAAAAGTTTCATAATTGTTTCAATATAAAAGATTTAAGATTATAGCTAAAGTAGAACTAATTAAATCATTGTAGTAATTATTCAATTAGTTTTACTTTAGCAATAAGCTTATATAATTGTTTTTTAATGTGAAGATTTAATTCAATTTTAATTCATTAACACAATATACAGAGTGTTCAGAAATTCCCATTACAAACTTCTAGGACTTGAAGAGGGGAGTGAGTACATAATATTTTGATTAGGAACCCATGTCCGGAAACGTACGGTTTCCAATCTACGATGGTTTCAATTCAGATGTTTAACTCTTCCACTTCTGCTGAGAGAAAGAGAAAAGTCTCAGAGTTGCTTGTCCTGGTATGCAATAGGGTAGACAGGATGATGTAGGACAAGCAACTCTGAGACTTTAACTCTTCCACTTCTGCTGAGGGAAAGAGAAAACATTTGAATTGAAACCATCGTAGAATGGAAACGGTACGTTTCCGGACATGAATATTATGTACTCACTCCCCTCTTCAAGTCCTAGAAGTTTGTAATGGGAATTTCTGAACACCCTGTATAAATTTGTTGATAAAATGTCACTTATTATTATAAAATTTAAATCAACAATCATTACATAGTATTATGAATTTATATTTTAGTATTTTGCAACATTAATTAGTTAACAACTATTATTTTCAAATTCTAAAATAATAATAAATTTTTAAAATAATTTATTATTATAATATAAATATAAAATGCATTTTTAATACTACATCTTTTAAGTATTATTCTGCTTATTCAACAATACCTTCTGTATACTATGCATTCCCATTTTTTTCTATTCTGCAATGAAATATTTTATAGTAAATTTTTAAGCATTCTAAATAAATTTTTTGAATGGTATTTAACCTAGATTATTTTAAAATTCCATTTCAAAGTTAAATGATTTTTAAATTTGTCTAAATTTTTTTTCTGAATTTTTAATTATTCATTTGCTTTAGGAAAAAGAATTTAGGAACACTTTGTGTGAGAAAAGAATATTTATGAAAATAATTTTTTGAAGTTGATTTATTGAATTATTACTAATTCTAGAATTTAAAGAAAACATCAAAGAATTTAAACAATTTCTGAAATTATTTCTCTGTTCTTAAGTTGCCATTTTTGCTTGTGATGCTTCCCTACAGATGAAACAAGACATTTGAATGCAGATAGAAAATGAAACTTAGACGATTACTCTATTGATTAGTGTACTGTACATCATCTACTTCTCAGATAATAATTAACATAAATGCTACCATTTTAAATTACTGTAATTATTTTGGAAGATCCTGTATATTATAAACCTACTTTTAATATTTTTAATAAATTTAATTTTTTAAAGTTTAAAATCAGGGTTGTAATTGTAAGTTATAGAGTGCAAAGATGCTAACCATTACCCTGAGTTAGAAAACTCCATAGATGGAGGAGATTCAATGGGTAAAGTGTAGTTTTGGGGCACAATATCTGCAAAACAGCTTATAGATCATTTTTGGTATATTTATGTTCGTAATCAGCATAAAAACTGTCCAAGAAGTAATTTTATAATAAAAGGTTGACTCTGTTATAAGACAGTTGTTTTCTCGAAGTATGAGAAAAGAACATTGTTTTATTATATAATCTTTAATTGTTTGTTAATTTTACAATTACTGTCCTGGCAATTTTAGCAAAAGTAATTTTCTGTTTTTTGGCCAAGGTACTTAGTCTGTGAACATCTAGGTTGGACTTTAAAGTACAAGGGCTTTGTCCTGATTAAAAAAGTACCAGGATGCTGCCCTGACATGTCCTGGCACAACTACACTACCGATTTAAAACATATACAGTATTATTGTATTTTTCTAATGATTTAGATTAACTGTAATTAATTTCAGTTTCTTAAATGTCTTTTTAAATTTGTTTGTTTTTACATTTTTTAAATATTAAGTTCTATTTTCAAGTTCCTCAACACACATGATTAATTGCTTTCTGGAAGGACAGTACATGCATGTTTATATTCTGTATATCATTTATAAAAATAAGTTTTTTAACTCATTGAATTTAATTATTCTTCATTACATATCAAAGATGTAAAATTTAATTTACATAGTTTTTGATTATTTAAGATACTAATTGTTTTCAACATCTGATGTGCTTTCTTAATTTCTTATTATTGAAAAGTTTACAATATTCTTATAAATAATAATAAAATAATATAAAAGTCCTTTTTTATAGTTAATTTAATCACATCAACATTATCATAATTTCTAAGTATTTCAAATCAGATTATTAATTAATTTCAAAATTATTAATAAACAAAAAATTTAAACTATACTAAAATATGCTTTTAGATCTTGTGAAGACTTTCCAATTTCCTACTGAAGGAGACTACGGAGTCAGTTATAAAGTGGCATATATGCCGGATGATAATGGAGTTCCAAAACATACATGCTTTCAAGTAAATGGAACTGAAGATTCTCCAGTAACTATTCAAAGTTTGTTACCTGATATTTCAAAATTTAAAGTAAGTATCCTATTTTGATATATAAAACATTTTTAAATATTATATTTTTCATTTATAATGTTTATAATAATCTACCCATCAAATAAATTCAAATAAAGAACATCAAGCAAATTTCCAGCCAATCTGATGTCATCTTAGCAGTAGTTTGTAGTTGAAGTTCTTAGAAACTTTAACAGTAATTTGAAATTTCTGTGAATAGCAGTGTAATATAAAATAATTTATATTTCATTTATATAATTTTAACAAAAAGCTATTTTTAATTATAGTTCACACATGACTGCCAAGCCAGTTCAAAAATTAATAATTAATCAGTTTTATATGATTTTCCATTAAAAAATTTAAAACAATTTTCTCTTTTTTGAACTTCATGTGACTGATGTAGCTCAATAATTTATTTTATTTCTTGAGGATATATCAACTACAATGCATGATGGTAATATGTATGCTTATAGATCTTCATTTGTAAAATCAAATGAATGAAAAAAAAAATTTTATTACTTTTTATGAGTTTTTTTATGGTACTTGTATCTATACTATGTGCCATATTCACTACAAAAGTTATAAGATACTTAAATGATGTCCACCCTGCATTAGAGTGTAACCTTTTTCAAGTATGATTGCCAAAATTACCAAATCTAGGATGCAGAATTTTTCATGAAAGGTTTGAGAGCATATTATTAAGTATCTGTTTTAAGTATTGAGAGAAACTTTCCAAATAATTAAAAATCCATATACAGTGGTGCCTCGTATAACGTACTTAATCCGTTCCAGGTGCACGTTCGTTAAGTGAAAAGTCCATTATACGAAACGCATTTTCCCATAGAAATACATGTTAAAAAATATAATTCGTTCTGCAGCATAAAATAATCATACTGTACCATAAAAAAATGAAAATGTAGCAGTCACCAATTATGCCGGATAGTCAGATGTTGTGAGGAGGAGGTGGAGGAACACTTTCTTCACACATTCATACAGATACAGACTTTTTACACATTGCAGTGGGTCTCTTTTTATTGTTTTTTTAATCGGAGTCAGATTCAGGAGAGGCTACCGGAGCTTTCAGGGTCAACTCCTCTTGTTCCGTCCTTTGTTATTTGGCAGCTGGCTTCTTGAAAATCATGTCCAGGGTGGTCTGTTTCTCTCTTTTTCAACACCTGTCGGAAATGATGGGCAAGGATGTCATTGTAGAGATCCGGTTGGCCTCAGCTCTGTTTAGATAATAAGTGTTGGTAAACTCCTGGACCTCTCCCCATTTGACAAGTAAGATTTTGTCAACTTTCACTCCTTCTGTTGATATCTTGCTTTGTTTCAATTGAAATCACCTTTCTGTTTTTTTAGAAGCCATGATTTGCACAACACTTGAATAAATGTAAATACCCTACAGTGAGGTGGTGTACATAATAAACAAGGCAGCAAGCCGAATCCCAATGGAAGCTCTGTACTTCAGATATACTAATAATATATTCTAATAATACTAATATATTATAAAATCAGCAGATTGTCATTGGCAACGGCAAAAGAGTGGAAACATCATTAGCACTTGTTCACAGAATGTCAGTTGTTCGCCTCAAGTAACTGCTGAACGGAAAGTCCGTTGTTCGCAGTCAGTCCGTTGCTCAAGTCACGTAACAGCCAAACAGAAAGTTCATTGTTCGCAGCATCCGTTATTCGAGGCGTACGTTATACAAGGCACTACTGTATATTTTTAAAAATTTGTTGGGTTTCTAAATCCTGACAAATTCGTTACAAAACACACAAAGAAATCGCACATGTGGTCACCAGTTCGTGTGAAATTAATCATTACAAACAGGGCCACATACAATAAAAGATTATCATTTATTCTATATATGAATTATGGCACGACTGTACAGGTTAATACACGAGGTGTTACTACACACGTCTGGAGAGGTCCAAATCTAACAAGAATGTGTGTGATGTCATAGGTCAGGTCAGGGGTTCCCCCTTGTGGCGACTTTGGGGTTTATCGCCAAAGCTGTCGCCACAGTACTCCCCCCCGCAGTGCCGTAGGTACGAAGTTAAAGGTACCGGGGGTTGAACCTGACTCTTCTTCCAGAACGTGTCGTCGTCGTCGTCGTGTTGGTAGGCACGGAGTTATTAGGAGTGTTTATCCTTGGTCGCTCCGGGGAGTCTGGACGTGTNACACACACACACACACATTCATTTTTATATATATAGATAGACGTTCAGTTGTCTAGTTTCTACTATAACCGATGTTTACGTTACAATTTACGCTTACGAAACGTTCTAATCTAATGATTAATTGGATAAGGCAGATGATGTATACTCTCACGGGAATATTTTTAAAAGATTACTTAATTGCATAATTAAAGTGAAAATTATGATAAATTAAACTAAAAAAATTATATACGGTAATTTCTTTTGCTGTAAGTGATCGAACGATCTCTCACAGAAGATCGAGCAAGAATGATCCTAATTCGATCGAAATTTTTCCAGAGTAGTGGCCAAATGGATAAAAACACCGACTACTAGTAGCTAGTGGTGGGTTTACGCCTCACCTAATAGAAAGGCCATGAGGAATTTTCCTTTTTTTTCACGTTTGTAGCATCCAGTTTTCCATAGAAAGTCCTCCATTTAAGTTGGACACCTCCCGGGAGGTGTCCAACTCAGTCTTTCGAGCGTAATAGGATTTGCATGGTCATTCATGATGGCCGATTTTTGTTTGTTTAGAGCAAATTATGAAGATTTGCGTAAAAGTAAAAAAAAAAAAAAAAAAAAAAAACTTTCAGCACGGGAAACCTAAGCTTTTGGTGTTTTAGGCTTTTAGAAGCTTCAATCACGTACACGGGTCGATACTCGATATTGATCAGTACTCGGAATCTAATAAGAACTAGGATCCTAGACATTGCAGAATGTCAAGTATTGTGTGATGTTGGCTTTATTTGTAGACTTGTGTTAATGTTAACCATGTAAACTTGCGCGGTGCTTTTGCATAAACTTCGATCCCAGTAGAATATCGATCCGAAATTTAATTAATAATTTACTTTAGGCTTATTTTGTTTATTTAAGATAAGACATTTGTGTAAACAGGGATAATTGATTCATTTATAATCCTTTATATGGTATTCTATAGAAATCATCGCAATATTTAGAGTGGACATGACATCAAATTAACGCCATTTTGCTGCAAGCTAGAAGCTACACGCAAAAATAATCTACAGATAAAATATAATATGAAGAAAAAGTAAAAATTCTTAAGACGCCATCCTACCGATCTGGGGATCTAGTTCGATTAAGAACATTAAGAACTGCAAGAAATTTTTCGGGCTGATCTGCCCCGAATATGTCGGCCCCCGACCCTCATCATCCGACTGCTCGCTAGGGGCCTGGCCCATCCTACGATAAGTCTGAAAAAAAGCCCTCTTTAGTGCCCACGCGACGAAAAGAGCCCAAGAAAAGCCTGTATGCCACACCGCATCGCAGCCTGTATTCGAGCGAATGAAGGTTCTACAAGGTGTTAAAGGCTTCTTTAATTAAATTGTACTATTGTGCCACAGGATATCGTCTCGTTATGATATTGTAATAACTTATTATTTGTACACTAATAAAGTTTAATTTGATTCCAACACCCCCTTCTTAATGCTTAACTTGTCAATGAGTAGACTACTGTACTGTATTGAATAAGTTCAATAAACGTAAACAGTTAAATCAAAGAGAACGTTTTTAATTATGTATCTAATTTGAATAAATTTATAAATAATAAAATTTCGAACGAAAAATTTAAAACGTAAACCTACGAAATTAACAAAAATAATAGAAAGTATTTTTATTAATTATATATTAACCTTATATTGTAGTATGTTAAATTACAAAAAATTGCAAATCCAACACTTAATAAATATGAAATAGTGCCGTAACTAGGCAGGCGCGACAGGCCCGCAGGCACAGAGCCCGGGACTAAAGGGGCATTAAATGGAACTGACAAAAAATATTGTCAAACGTACCGTAATATTTTCGTTTATAAATACATACGAATGATCACGTGTATTTCCTTTGTACACAAAACTTGCTTATTATAAACAATTGTTTATAATTATTATTTCCCCAAAAAAACTAAGGTTGCCCCCAAAAATCTTTGCACGGGACAGATGAAAAGCAAGTTACAACACTAGAGTTTTTACACTAAAATATTTTTGTTCTATTATTTATGTGGGGCTCTAAGATACTGATATATTATACTATAGCATTTTCTACATTAAATTTATACGGTTTTCATAAAAGCAGTGTAATGGAAAAAATAAGCTTGTGTATTATTCTTTCATTATATTGTTACATTCACCTATTAAAGGTGAGTATATTTTATGTGTTAGATGCTTTACTTATAATTTGAATTGAGTAATATTGACCATTTACAGATGTCAATGTTTCTTGATCCAAGTTAAATACGAATTAAAAATATATTTATTATCACAGACAAGTAAATTATGATTACGATACTGTAAATTTTGTATTTATTTAACTTTTTAAGTTTAATAGTCTACTATATAGTAAATATAAAAATAAACGTTTTATATACTGTAAATATTTTCTCGTTTTTTCACCCGTTAATATTTTTTGAGTATAGAATTACAGAATTTAATAATGGATACAAAAATAATATAAATTATTTGTATTCTGCTATTAGACAAAGTTCAGGTTGAAAATTAATCGCATTGTGATTAGAACCGGCTCTATATTCCGAATATAAAATATAAATGTAAAGTCTTAGAGGGGCATAGACGAATCCACTCAGGGCCCGTCTATGCCTCTCTAAGCGCAAAACTTCGCGCGAATGCAATAGGTTGAAGACAGAATCATCGAGAGGGAGAGAGAATTGGAATTTTTTCCCAGGTCCAGAGAAAACTTGGGGCCCGTAGTAATTCGTAATGGCAAAAGGCTCCCTAAAGAGTAAAAAGGTCCAGAAAAATCAACCAAATTCTATACAAACTCTCGAAGGTTCTAGTTGCAAAGTCATGCCATTT